TAAGGGAGCGCCGCACTGTCAGAGGGTCAGCGTTAAGGGAGCGCCGCGCTGTCACAGGGTCAGCATTAAGGGTGCGCCGCACTGTCAGAGGGTCAGCGTTAAGGGAGTGCTGCACTATTTATGGAACAGTACAGAGCGTATGCCACACTGTCACGGTATCTGTACTGCGAGAGTGTTGTTCTTTTGAAAGATCAGTACTGAGGGAGTGCTGCACTGTTGGAGGGGCAGTACTGAGTCATAGAGACATAGTCATGGCATCATCAAACTCAGAAACAGATCCTTTGGTCCAACCAGTCCATGCTGACCATAATCCCAAACTAGTTTAGTTCCACCTGCCTCGGCTTGTCCCATATCCCTCCAAACATTTCTCATTCATGTACTTTCTTTACACAGAGAGTGGTGGGTGCATGGAACACGCTGCCAGCAGTGGTAGGGGAGAATAATACATTAGGGACATTTAAGCGATTCTTGGATAGGCACATGGATGATAATATAATGTAGGGTATGCAGGGTAGTTTGATCTTAGAGTAGGATAATAGGTCGGCACAACGTCGTGGGCCGAAGGGCCTGAACTGTGCTGCACTGTTCTATTTTCTATGTACTTATCTAAATGTCTTTTGAACATTGTAACTGCACCTCATCCACGCTCCTATTCTCCAGTGAAAAAGTCCCAGCCTTTCTACTCGATTATTAGACCTCAATCCTCTATTCCTGGCAACATCCTGGTAAATCTTTTCTGAAACATCTCCAGTTTAATAATATCCTTCCTATAAGAGGAGAACCACTACTGTACTTATGTTGAAATTGTCAACTTTTGAGATGACCACAGTGCCCTCCAGCGCGCTACTCCCTCCCCCAGTGAGTCATGCCAGCAAAATATCCAGACGTCTCTTTGCGCAGAAGGGCTTTGCACCTGGTAACGCAGGTGGAGATCCTGTGCTTCTTGAAGATTCTTGGAATCCAGCGTTCGCTCCCCTTCTGCCTGCAGTTCCTGCTGGGAGTCGGTGACTTGCTTCAGGATGCTCCTGACCTCGTCTCTGTGCTGAATGCATTCTCCAACACTGGATAGCAGCTTATCACACTGAAGGGGGAGAGGGTGATCAAGTTAGTGTAGCGCGAGATACAAGAGAGCCAAGTGGTTTCCTGTGTGCATTTGATGTTGCATGAAATGTAAAACCAAACTGCCTTTGCTGAGTTCAGATGCTGCCATATTTTAAACATATTTTTAAAATAAAGTAGCCTTTTGAAGAAGATACTTTTTTTTAAATTGGTCACGCGAATGGTATATTTGCAAGCCCTTCTCATTCTGTTACAGTTCGCGCTTTTTTTGAGGGTAACGGCCACGTTATTGAAAGTGGGACTTTTCAAATAAAAATGTCAACAGAATCCCTACAGTGTGGAAACAGGCCATTCAGTCCATCGTGTCCAGACCAACCCTCCAAAGAGCATCCCACCCAGACCCAGCCCCTTACCCTATCCCTGCACCCCTGCATTTCCCATGGCTGATCCACACCTTCCTAAAATCTTTCCATGTATTGGCCTCAGCCACCTTCTGTGGCAGAGAATTTCACAGGCTCACCATCCTGTCTTGTATGTACATAAACCTACTATTTTCAGGATGAGTCAGAACGCTTCTTTCATATTCCATTGAGGCAGGTACAACAACAGCTTTTATTTTGAGGAAATCCCCATAATGAAGAAACACAGTGACCTTTCTCACAGGATGCTGTGCCATCTCTGTGTGCAATACAGAGCTGGCAGATTTGACGCAGCCGTAGAATAAACGGAATTTTGTGTATACTGGATATGATTGAGTTATTCATTCGGGTGCTGAGGGCTCAGTTTATAGCTCAATGTCGTCTCCACCATTGCGCAGCTGTGATTAAGGTGAAAAGACGTTAATTTTCCTGCTCAGTGTTGAGATGGGTTGGTGCATTCTGCTGAATGGGAAATCTGGATATTTTCTGTTCAACTTTTCATTAACCATTAGGGGTGGCACAGTGGCTCAGTAGCTTGCACTGCTGCCTCACAGTGCCAGGGGTTCAGGTTCAATTCCAGCCTCAGGCCACTGTCTGTGTGGAGTTTGCACATTCTCCCCATGTCTGCATGGGTTTCCTCCGGGTGCTCCAGTTTCCTCCCACAGTCCAAAAATGTGTACAGGTTGGGTGGATTAGCCATGGGGAAATGCAGGGTTATAGGGTGGGGGCTGGGTTCAGATGGGGTCATATTTACAGGGTCAGGGCAGACATGATGGGCTGAACAGCCTCTTTCTGCACTGATGGTTCTATTCTAATACCTATGCCATGAGCTTTTATTTGGTGCAATGATCTTTATTGTGGTACTGTGCCAAATGCCTTCAGGAAATCTTGTTTGTGAACTTGTAAAGTGGTTTGGAAATAGGAAATATGTGACAGCTTTTCACCAATAAAGAATAGTGACTTGAGGGAGGCAAGACAGAATGGTATATCCAAATTTGTTAATGGCGCCAAGTAAGAAAGCACAGACACGTAACATGTGTAGAGTGGCGATAAATAACCTGAGGCCACATCAATGTCATGTCACTAGTCTCAGATCGTTCTCCTACCTCGTCCACTTGGGTCAGGAGCCTGTTGAATTCAGCTGTGAGTTTGGACAGCTCCTCATCTTGCCGTTTGGCTTCGCTCTCTGAAGAGATTGTCCTGAGAACAGCAAGTCTGGATCTCAACCACAAAATGTTTGCTTCCTCGCGGCTTGCTTCTTCCTTAATTCCCTAAATGCAAAAAGAAACAATATATTCCGGCTCATCGTCCCCCTTTCCCATTCTCTCCATGGCCTCAGCCACCTCCTGATCTGCGTAACTTCATTCCAGCCCTACATCTCTCAAAGCTCTCTGCACTCCTGTAATTCTTGGGGTTTGCCACTTTTGTTCTCTTCACTACTGACAGCTGTACCTTCAGCTCCCTCAGTCTCGAAGAACATGACCAAACACACAAACTGGTGGAACACGGCTCCTTAAATCCTTTCTGCCGTTTGACAGATGATGGCTGATCTGATCTTGGTTTCAACTCTGCCTTCCTGTCTATCCCTGATACTCTCTGTCAATTAAGAAGCTGAATAATTCAACACTAAAGATATACAATGGCCCCCTTCCTGACCACTCTCTGGGGAAGACATTTCAGAATCACTAAACTCTGAGAAGGAATATCCTCCTCGTCTCTATCTTTCATCGGGAATCCTTTATTTTTAAGCAGTGTCACTAAGTTTTAGTCTCTCCCACAAAGGGAATGATAATGACTGCTACAAATCACCATTCATTCTTGTATACTCCAGTGGATACAGGCCCATCCTTTTCCTCTGAAAAGGGTTTCCTCTGGAATGCATCATCCTCACTCTCTCAATCTCTCTTTCTCCTTCCTCCTTCAAGACGCTCCTTAATACTTACCTCTTTGACCAAGATTCTGACCAGCAATCCTCACATCTCTGTACGTGGTTAGGTGTTCATTTTTGCCTGATAATGTTCTGTGAAGTGCCTTATTCCAGCAAAGGCACTACATTTGTCCAGGTCATAGACCCGTAGCACGGAAACAGTGCCTTCAACCCAACCAGTCTGTATCTACCATAATTCCAAACTAAACTAGTCCCACCTGCCTGCACTTGGCCCATATCCCTCCAAACATTTCGTATTCATGTACTTTATCCAAATGTCTTTTAAACGTTGTAACTGTACCCACATCCACCGCTTTCTCTGGAAGTTCACTCTACACACCAACCATCCTCTGTGTCAAAGAAGGTGCCCCTCATATTTTTCTTCTAATCTTTCTCCTCACACCTTAAAAGCATACCCCTTAGTCTTGAAATCCCCACCCGAGGGAAAAGACACCTGCCATTCACCTTATGTATTCCTCTCGTGATTTTATAAACCTCAATAAGGTCACCCCTCAACCTCCTACACTCCAGTGAAAAAAGTCCCAGCCTATCCAACTTTTCCTTATAACTCAATCCCTCCTGACAAGATCATGGTAAATCTTTCCTGAACCCTCTCCAGCTTAATAATATCTTTTCTATAGCAGGGCAACCAGAACAGGGAGACCAGAACTAGGCACAGTATTCAAGAAGAGGCCTTATTGTTATTGCTGATGCTGAACAGATCATGAGCTCAAATGACTTAAATCTACAATGTGTCGATTCAGAGACAAGAACGCTACTACTGAGAGACTTACAAGATAACTAAAGCACTCCCATTGGGAAGCACCACTCCAAGGCAGGGCTACAACAGGCTAATGCCAACTCAACAAAACTCCATTCAAGGAACACAGAATTCCCCCTGGCCTATTAACTGTTAAAACACTTGTAGATTTTCTTTATATCATCTGTCCATTATCAGATGGATTCCTCCCAGTTGACACCCTGCATTATTACCCTTCCCTAAAAGTCTGATCTACAAAATCACAGACAAACAATGCAGGGTGTCAATAGAAGTTTCTATAGAAACTTCTGTAGACACCCTGCATTGTTTGTGTGTGATTTTGTAGATCAGACTTTTAGGTAAGGGTAATAAATGATAGCCTAGCCAGCGATGCCCATAGCCCAGGAACAAGTGAAGAGGTTCAATGATATTTCCACTTCCGCAGGCCCTGCGCCCAATATTTTACACATCCTACCTGCTCTGGAAGAAAATAATATGTTGTACAAACCTCCAGAACTGATTTCAACTCTCCGTACTTTCTGGTATTGGAGGCTGCATTCCGAATCTCTGTCAGCTGTTTGTTCTTTGTCACAAGCCATTTTGATTGTTCAGAGTATCTACAAAAGAATGAGAGGGAATGTGTTCACACACAGACGTTTAAAATATCAAGTACTTCTTGGGGCAGGGCCTGATTCATCTGATTTGCAAGAGCATTGGATGAATGTTCTAGGAAAACGGCGTGGAAAGGAATGGTGCTTGAGTACACAGTCCCAGTAGAAGAGCCACCGCAGGTACGGCAGGTCAAATAGACTCCTCTAGAGCTGCAGGGTTTCAAAATCATCCCAACGTCTCCTGCCTGAAATTGTTTCATCATTTCCCCTTCCATACCTCTATCCCAAGTATCTCCTCATGCTTGGTCTTTCTATCCACTCCTGAATTCCTCCTGTCATCTCCCCTCTAAATTCTCCACATTGTCCCTTTACCCTCACGTTCACATTAACTCTCCAGCAAGTACACGGCTTTGACTTTGCCAAGACACAAAGCCTCACTGTCCCTCGGACCCCAGCCTAGAGCAAAGGTGGCCCCTTTCCTGGTTCCTCCACACCATCCTTTGGGAATTGCTCTCCCTTTACCCCACAGAGCGATCCTCCAAACCCAGAGAAGTGCACCGACAAGGAGCAGGAGGAGGACATTCAGCCCTTCTTCAATAAGATTGCGGCTGAGCTGATTGCAACTTCAAATCCGCATTCCCATCAACCCTCTCACTGGGTGGGAAGAGTAAAACTCCACAATGCCATTCCCTGACCAAGGTCACATGGAATGCAGCTTCTTCTGGTCATCTTTCCTTCCTACTCATCACATCCTGATCCCAGGCAACCAGCTGGTCAATATGCACTTAGAGTCAGACGGCATGGAAACGAACCCTTCGGTCCAACCATTCCATGCCGACCTTAATCCCAATCTTCTGCCACCTCATTCCTTATGAGTTCCCTCACAGTTTCCAGTCCCAATATTGTGCTTGACCTCGTCAGACTTAACAAACAATTTAGTCTGTGATCCAACAATTATCAGGCCTACTGTGAGCATCTCAAGCAAAATGTCTCCAAATCCTCTCATTACTCTGAAACATTCCAAAGGCAGAGACAACCACTTACTGCGACATTTCCTGTCCCTTCAACCTCTGAACTTTACCATCAGGCTTGAGTAGTTCAGTGACTTCCAAAACCAAAACCCACTGCTCACTTGGATTCTACCTGACATTTCACTGGAGGCATGCTTCCGCTCAGAGATCTGGAACATCCCAAGCCACTGACAATTGCTTTTAGCACCAAGTTGTTTTTTGCGCTTGGGGAGGGGTCATTTTAATCTAACAGGTTCTAGTTGAGTCAGATGTTCAATCTTCAGACATCTCAATCCTGGCTCCAGCCTGCCCACATCCAGATTTAACACATTAAAACATTCAGGATTGTGATGTGAGAAACCAGGTGCCAAAATTTGGATTCATGCTACATTTATTTCCCAGAAATGCCAGCTTCCTTCCTAGTCAACCCTAAGTGCCCAAGCACACTTTCTTTACTAATCAACCTGTCTGGAAATGTTAACACATAATTCTGGAGCAGGTAGGATTTGAACCCAAATCTCCTGGCCCACAGGTAGGGACACTACCTCTGTGCTACATGATTCCTTAGGCTTTCGTTATCTGTTCTCAAGGTATTTAATCTATCAGTCGCCTTCACCTATGCATTTTTAGCATTAACAAAATTATTTACAATTATTGACATTGGGGGCGTGTTTATGATTTAAACACTATAATGGAGCAGTAAAAAGCTAAGGCCTTATGGACAAGGAAGTTCAATCCTGGCCCATCCACTTTAGTTTGATCCTGTAAAACTAAACCCTGGCCACTTCCCGGCATTCTCAAAGCTCCACCCCATCAGGGATCACAGCACCTTTGGGGTCAGGGATTGGGCACCTCCCACCTTCACAAGACCTACAGGCTCCTCAGGAGCTGTCCCGGCCTGTTGCAGAATCCTCCCCACCTGATTGGAAACTCACCCTGTCAATCATGGAGACTTCCAAATGGGGATTACATTAAAAGTGAATGCACTTTGGAGCACAGAAGGCTGAGAGGGGGTGGGGGGGAACCTGATGGAGGTGTATAAGACCTGGACAGGGCGAATAGAAAGCAGCTGTTTTCCTCAGTCAAAGGGTCAATAACAATGGGGCATAATTTTCAAAATGAAAGGCAGGAGGTTTAGAGTGGATGTGAGGAAAAACATTTTTGCCAGAGGGTGGTGGGAATCCATTATGTAATGCCTGGGAGAGTAGATGGAGCGGGAAACCTCGTGACCTTTAAAAAGTACTTGGATGAGCACTTGAAGTGTCATAACATTCAAGTCAATGAGTCTAGTGCAGGAAAGTGGGACCGCTGCAGGTAGTAGTATATTTTTTGGTGGTATACACTAGATGGGCTGAAGGCCCTGTTCTGTCTGATTCTATGATTCAAAACTCCGCAGGATGTGGGGGACCCTGATCTTTGTCCTTCCTGAATCAAACTTTTCAGAGGTGGCTCGAGTGAAGCTGAAACACTAACATGAGCCAGTTTGGCCCAGTAGCCTGCTCCTATGCTAGTTCTAGGGAAAGATAATAAACTCTAGGTAAACGTGTGTTGTTCATCACTGTTACCTCGTCCTGTACTCCTTCCATTTGTCTGGCTGATCCAATATTTTCTGGTAGGTGGCATCAATAAGTCCTTGCAATTCTCTCAGCGTCTTTTTGTCCATTTCATGCTTTGTCCGGATCCCTTCATACTTCCGAGTTTCCGGCAGCTTCTGGCAGAGGTCACCGATCACTTTGCCCCGCTTTCTGCACCACTCGAACTTCCCTTTCTCCGAGAAAAACTCCTGGAAGGGAATCAGTTGTTGGTGGACCGGATTCATCAGGTTTGGTAAGAGGCTGAACGGGATCCTGGGGAGGTCTTCAAACCCCATTACCGCCCAATCCGGGATCACAAACCCGATTACCGCCCAATCCGGGATCTCAAACCCGATTACCCCCCTATCTGGGATCTCAAACCCAATTACCGCCCAATCTGGGATCTCAAACCCGATTACCCCACAATCCGGGATTTCAAACCCAATTACCCCCCTAATCCGGGATCTCAAACCCGATTAACCCCAATCTGGGATCTCAAACCCGATTACCCCGCTATCCAGGATCTCAAACCCAATTACCCCCCTAATCCGGGATCTCAAACCCGATTACCCCCCAATCCGGGATCTCAAACCCAATTACCACCCCTCCCCCGATCAGGGATCTCACACCCAATTACCCCCCCAATCTGAGATTTCACACCTGATGTAAAATCCGAGAAGGGGGACTGAATGAGTTTGGGGGGCGGTGGGTGTGGGGTGACCAACACTGACTGATATGACGTGATCCAGGTGGGAAGTTGGGAAGCCACTACATGCACTTGGTTAAAAATGGGGTTGGAGAAGCCTCACAGCAAGGTATTGGACAATTGTACTGGATAAGCAAAATAAAAGGAATATACGATAGAATTCCTACAGTGTGAAAGCAGGCCATTTGACCCGACAAGCCCACACCAATCCTCCGAAGAACATCCCATCCAGACCCTCCCCTGTAACCCTGCATTTCCCATGGCCCATTCTGCGCCCATTTCCCACGGCCAATCCACCCTAACCTGCACATCATTGGACTGTGGGAGGAAACCGGAGCAAACCCACGCAGACATGGGGAGAACGTGCAAACTCTGCACGGTCGCTGAGTGTGGAATTGAATCTGGGACCCTGGCACTGTGAGGTAGCAGTGCTAACCAATGAGCCACCATGCCGCACTATACCAACTATAGAATAATGTTTCATTTATTATTGTCACATGTACTGAGATAGAGTGGAAAGTATTGTTTTGTGTACTAACCAGACAAATCATACCTTACATAAGTACATCAGGATTATGGGAGTGTGCAACTCTGGAACCTCACAGGGATAAAGTAGACTGTGTAACCAACCGAGTAGAAAAATATATTAGTAATTATTGAAGTGAAAATATACCTAGCACCTTCCCAGCACAGGCAAACCAATGATGTAAATGAGAATTAATCATAAATAAGTATGTTTTGTTGGGCTGCACAGCGGCTCAGTGGTTAGAACTGCTGGCTGACAGTGCCAGGGACTTGGGTTCGATTCCAGCCTCGGGCGACTGTCTGTGTAGAGTTTGCATGTTCTCCATTTGTCTGTGTGGGTTCCCTCCGGGTGCTCCAGTTTCCTCCCACAGTCCAAAGATGTGCAGGTTAGGGTGGATTGGCCATGCTATGGTGCCCAGGGATGCTTAGGTTAGGTGGGTTAGACACAGGAAATTAGGGGAATGGGTCTCAGTGGGATGCCCTTCAGAGGGTGGTGTGGACTTGTTGGGCCAAATGGCCTGTTTCCACACTGTAGGGATTCTATGATGTTTGAGAGTCAGGAGTGCAAAGTTAAAATGGGCAGGGACTCAATTCAGAATGAAAATACAGGACGATGAACAGTCTGGTTAAAACCAGAGTAGATGGCCATGGTGTCCCTAACTGAGTTTGAACATGGTTCCCAACGCTCCCCAAAGAAACCAGCTGCTATAACCACATAACCTGATGGTGCCACAGCTGGAAGCCATGTGATTTGGGCAAATTCAATGCTCCCAGCAGCGAGCTGTGTTTCAAAAATAGGTACGAAATTCATCTGTAACATCATGCAAAACGAAAGCATTTAACCGACATAACTTGGCGCTTAAATGGCAAACTAATTTATCAATACAAAATGATGCATTTTGATAGGAAGATAACAGGAATCACAAAGTCTGTAGGAAGAACGAGTCTAAGTGGGATGCAAGAGCAGAGATATCTGAGGTATCCTAATTCACAAATCATCCAATGTAGCTATGAAGGCTAACAAGGTCATAAATGCATGAAAGAAGTACTGAAGCTCATTTCTACAGACAGAGTCATGGAATCCCTACAATGCAGAAAGAGGCCTTTTGGCCCGTTGAGTCTGTATCAACTCTCCAAAGGGCATTCCACCCTATCCCTACATTCCCCATGGCTTTTCCACCTAGCCTGCACATATGGGTAATTTTTCATGGCCAATCCAACTAGCCTGCACATCTTTGGACTGTAGGAGGTAACTGGGGCACCCAGAGAAAACCCACACAGACACAGGTCACACAAAGACAGTCGCCCAAGGGCGGAAACGAACCCAGGTCCCTGGTACTGTGAGGCAGCAGTGCTAAGCCACCATGCCACCGAGCAGCAGATCTACATCCGGGGTGAGACCCATGTGGACAAGTGGATTGGAAGGCCTCCCAGTATACATTATGTAACGTTTATACAGAGCCTCGGTTAGATCACAATTCTGGTCTTCATGTTACATAGAAGGATCTAGAGGGATTAAAGAAAATCGCTCACATTCCACGAAAGAATACAACAAAAGGAGGCTGCTCTGTTGCTCATCAAGCCCTGTCCAGAGAAAAGTCATTGAGAGACACTGCGCTGTGCTTACCTTGTGCTGTACAATAAGCTCTTCACTGTTGGTGCTGATTAGGAGCTTGTTCTCCCGAGCCAGTTCCAACTTACATTCCTCCATCGTGTCCACCAGCTTATTTCTGGCTGCTTCAATCTGGAGGCGGAGCAAATGGTAGGGTGCTTCGGCCTGAAGGTCCTGAAATAATCCAAGCAGCATCAAATAAATTAAAAGCCAAGGCTTGGAACTGTATGTTGATGAACATAGAGGCCAAATCTTCCAATCTCACCATGGGTCTGAGTCACGTCAGGCTGGCTTTAAAAATGTCAGGTGGAATCCAATCCTGGGGTTCCCGCCCCCATTCACGCTGTCAGCAATTTTGATCAGCGTGGGGCGCAGTTATGAGGCTATATCTGCTGTCCCAGTCTTGCAAGTTCCATTCTGGAAGTGGGTGTTTCAGATTGTCCCTAATACCTTAGAGTGGGGTGGCTTTTGAATGCAAGGCTCTACACTAGATCGGAGCTGTGGTGAACCATGATTAGAGTTGGGAAGCATTTGAGAGTCAAGTTCAAAAGGGGTTGCCAATTTCATGTAAAACAAAAACCGAAAGAACTGCGGATGCTGTAAATCAGGACCACAAACAAAGTTGCTGGAAAAGCTCAGCAGGTCTGGCAGCATCTGTGAAGAAAAAAA